GAAAGGCAAGTATGATCCCGAGGCAGCCAAGCCATCCGGCTGCAGCTCAAAGCTGCCTGAAAACTCCACGTTCATGCTCCGAAAGGCTGGGTGTGGGAATACTAGAAAGTCGGCAAACATACGCCACCACCATCACAACCTGCAGAAGCTCAGCCGAAGCTTTAACCACGGTACTTGCGGTGTGGAAGATTCCGGTTTGTATGGTGTTGATAGGTGGCTGTTTATTTGTGGCGTTCTGATGTGCCTGTGGCGTACGGGTAGCAGCTTATGTAAGGGTACTAGCCGTTTTGTCCCTAGTCGTGTTCTACCCCAGATCCGACCCATTTTTCTTGATCAGCGCGGCTCCACCTGGATTCGACCGAGGCTCGTTTCATCGCATTCGCGTAAAGCTGGACCGACGAACTGTTGTATTCCTTCGGTCATCTTACTTAAATACACCGTCTCGGATTTGGCGGGTAGACCTATATATTTATCAATTACTGCGTACGGCGGCTTGATTACTTCCTTCCTCTCTTATTTCTCCATCGCCAGAGCCTCAATTCTCCTCCAGACATCTGCTATTCACGTGCTGCTGACACCTTATCAAGTTGAAAGCAACAGACCGCACTCCAACCAACAGAATGACAGTCCCTGAGAGCGAGTACCTTAGCCCCGTGTGGAGGGACGGAATCTTCAGTGAGTCGATCGTTCCCGAATCCAGCCCCGTATCCTCGCGCATCTGCGTTCCTGTATCAATCGCTGACTTCGTCTTTGCTAGATGGCCGGGTTGTGTTCGTCACTGGCGGCGCCGGCACGATATGCAGCATGCAGACCAGAGCACTTGTGCGTCTAGGCGCCAATGCTTGCATCCTTGGCCGCAAAGTCGAGAAGACTGAGGCCGTCGCCAAGGACATTGCCCTCGTGAGGCCAGGTGCCAAGGTCATTGGCATCGGGGGTTGTGATGTTCGAAACGTGAGTTGCACACGGGAACAGCGTTCTCTCTTGACGCATTGGCCTTGATCACAAGTCTAACTCATCTCTCTACAGCCTGAGGCTCTCAAGGCCGCAGCGGACAGATGCGCCAAGGAACTCGGAGGCATCGACTTCGTCATGTAATTCAACCCCCCTTCCCAAACTCTTCCATTCTTCAACTTCTAACTTCGTTCTTCTTTTTTCCTGGTAAACAGCGCCGGCGCAGCAGGCAACTTCATCGCCCCCATCGACGCCCTGAGCCCAAACGCCTTCAAGAGCGTCATCGACATCGACGTCCTCGGCACCTTCAACACCATCAAGGCCACCATCCCCCACCTCCTCCGCAGCGCCTCCCCGCGCATCATCTTCGTCTCCGCCACCTTCCACCTCACCGGCATGCCCCTCCAGTCCCACGTCTCCGCCGCCAAGGCCGCCGTCGACTCCCTCATGGCCTCAGTCGCCCTCGAGTACGGGCCCCGCGGCGTCGTCAGCAACGTCATCTCCCCGGGCGGCATCGAGGGCACCGAAGGGCTCGCCCGCCTCGGCAGCAGCAAGGAGCAGGAGAGGAGGAACTACGCCAAGTCCATCCCCTCCGGCCGCCTCGGCACCGTCAGGGATGTCGCCGACGCGACCGTCTTCCTCTTCAGCGAGGCCGGCACCTACGTCAACGGCCAGGTCATCCCCGTCGACGGGGCGGCCTGGAGGAGGCAGGGCGACGTCAAGGTTGGCCTGGACGACAACATGGTCTATCCCGATTTCCTGTTATCTGGAGACATTTCGAAAAACTTGCGAGACCCTCGGGAGACTAGCAAGGCAAAGCTGTAGATGGAAGGTATAGATGTTGCTATATAGACGGGCATGTTAGAGGGAATATCTTGTTTCTTAGATATCTGCTGTTTTGTTTAATCATTTGAATTCATCTTGATTAACCCCACCCCAAAAAAGCAAAAATGAGGTTGAGTCGGCGTGTGAAAACATATGGGATTGCTATTAAATGGTATTAGGTGGTATAATCTTGATATCCAACTAAATCCAACTCCAACTCCAACCCATCATCAACTAGTTGCTTTTCTTTTCATTTTTTTTAGGTTCCGAATAAAACCAACAAAGACACTTAATCAGTATGCGCCCAATGGATAGACCGCGAGGTCTAAGAACAAGACTCCTGTAACTCAGAGCGGGTATAAGAAAAGACCAATAACGAAAGCCCCCAGAGAACAAACTAGCAGAATCCAGACGGACCACTACCGAAGGCCAGTCATGGCTAGCAAATCATTGCGATGGTAAAAGGCTCGCACCCTCTTTCCATAGACATCTAGTAACCATTAGCAACCATTGAGTTCGAAAAGGTGAGTTTGAGAAAAGTCTTACACATGGGAATGCTTAGAAGGCACACGATCAATTGAACTATGGCTGCGGCGACCATGACGTTTCTGATACCATTATTGGCAATCACCCAGTCGTATGCACTGAAAGTGAGGCCAAAACTGAAGATGTTCTTGAAGATAATCATGATGGTGAAACCCTCAATTGTAAGATCGCCTAGGTGGGTTAGTAAAACGTGGAAATCTCAGCGAGAAAAGAGAAGTGTTGGACAGAAAGACTTACGGTAGGCATCTACAATATAAAGAGAACTCGACACAGCTCCGATGACCATACCAGCAACCTCGAGAGCAAAGAAGGTCAGAGGTACCCAGAATGTGTACTCTTTAGTGATAACCCGGCCAGCTGTGAGGCCGAAACCGAAGAGCCCAGTGCAGCCAAAGATGAGCATGGGGATGACGAGCAAGATGCGGAACTCGGGCTCATACACTCCATTGTTCCTCCTGGTGAGCCACTTGGCCAACGGGTCGGCAAGCAACCCCGAGATGAGATAGCCGATCAGCGCGCCAATAAACGGCCCGGTGTAGGCATATCCAGCCTCAACCTCCCTCCAGAGATATGGCGGACCAATGAAGATGGCAGCAATGATGACGCCGATCAGCACAGTCCACCCGATCATGGTTCCTTGAATCAAGCATCCCCAGATAAAGGCCGGGTTTGCAAGGAGGGGGAAGGGCCGCAAGAGGAGTACCCAGTACCTTTCATTGGTCTTTCTACCGTCGAAGAGGGAGAGTGACTCAAGAAATGATTTCTTGGGAGTGGCAGAATTTCCAATTGGCTGCAAGGCACTGGACCTGGGAAATATGACGAACCCCCCACGGCGATCCTCGGGCACTTCGAGCATCTGCTCCGTACTACTCTGCCCGTTTTTGGATTCGTCGACAAGCACTTGGTCCTCACCCGTGGTGTCTGTATTTAGTTTCTGCTCGCGCCTATATGTCGTCTCCGGACACAAAAGGAACACGGCGGGAAGTGTGGCGGCCATGAAGATGGACACAAAGTAGAAGGTCCACCACCAGCCCATCGAGCGGGTGATCTTCCCCACCAATATGGGAGTGAAGAAGGCTCCGCCAAAGACTGCCAGGTTGGTAAAGGCCATGCGCGAACCACGCTGGTGCACGAAATAGAGATCACCAACGGCTGCATTGAGTAAGCTCTCGAAAGGGGCAGCGCCGATCCCTTGGACAGCCCGAGCAGCAGCCAGACTTCCATAATTCTTCCCCGTGGAACCGGCCCACGCGCTCGATGCGATAATCAGGCATATTCCAACGATAAAAAGGTGGCGCTTCCCCCAAATACGACCGGACGGAACGAAGAAGGTGGCGGCAGCACCTGCGCCAAGGAGAAAGTAGCCGGTCAATAAGGCGGCTTTGGTGAGTGTTATACCGAAAAGTCCGGAGATGGTGAGTGTGTTGGCAGCGAGGATAGGGCCCAGCGCGGTCGCGAGAATGGCAGCGAAAGAGAGGGTAAAGGTGATCAGATCGCGTTTCCATAGGGGCCAGTTGAGGGGATCATTCGGGTCGTCGGATGGTTGCGGAATCTATGCACCAAGTAAGCAAACCGCGTCTTGTCGCCTTGGTCTCAGCACGCACGAGAATGATGGGCTGCTTCCCGCTCCGGTCAACTTTCAATCCCGAATGCCCATCGACGTCGATCTGAGGACGGTCGGGACTGTCAAAGTATCTCGTGGTTCCTAGAAGACAGCGCCTGTATTAGTTGAGGCTTCTTCACGCAAGGGCGCCTTTGGCTGGGAATTCATATACCGGGCACATGCTCGACGCCCTTTGGGTTGAGAATCCCGAGCGGCATCTTGGAGGCACCTGGGCGCAACACGAGGCACCGTAGAATATGCGACAATGGATTAGACCGACGAGGCCGAAAAGCGCGGTGAGGGCAGCTCCGAGTCGTGGCTGGCTGGAGGTGTGGTGGTGGTGATGGGGAGGGATCGGCCAATTTCTGAGCCAAGCCAAGCCAAACCAGGCACGGCATGCATGGTCTGGCCTGACTGCCATCCAGGCTGACCAGTATATTATTAGCTCCCCCAGGCGGTTTATTAAATTAGCAGAGCTTTTCAAGAGGGGGGGTGGGACTGAAACTGGGATTGAAGGCCAGGTGGGTCAAGGGTAGCGGGACTACGTTGCCCACTCTCGATACGAGTACGTCCTCTCCTACGGACATTCCTCCATGCCTTCATTCTGCTACTATTGCCTCTTGCAGCTTTGTATTATTCAGATTTCTGCATCACGGTGTTAAGATATCAAGGCTGTCCGATCAAAAACAAGTACGTCAACAGCGTGGCATTCATATCCTCTGTCAATGCCTAGCTAAGTAACTATCTGCCTTGATACTAAAAACTCGTTCTTCTTTTTGGTGGGTGCAGCAACGACAAGCTTCGTTCATCCCCACATTCTTGGAGGGGTTGTTCGCTACTTAACTAATACTTAGTACCGGGCTATCTGAAATATCAAATCAGGTGATGCTTTTACTCCAGAGTCTGTTAGAAATCTTTGGTGAAATGGTAGTAGATAGCTAACAATGTACCAATCATCCAATACAATTCCCCTCGCAGTGCACGCGTGCGCTTGTTCGCTGAATCATCGGCCGACTGATGCGCCAAGTGATAGATGATTCATTTTTCACCGGCGTTGATATGGGCCATTCATCGGTTACCAAAACCTTGCTTGCATCTCATGCACTCTGGGCCTGATTGATAGCTCAGGCCCCACGCTGTTGTTGTTGGTAGCGCCAATGTCGTCCATCTGCGACAGCATATCCAGAGCAGGCCGGCATATATCTGCCCAGATACCATCCAGTTCGCTCAACTCCCATCCGGCGCTCTCACCGAAACCCAAATTCATGTTTCCTCGGAAGACGTCGTCGGCCTTGGAAGACGAAAGCGAAACCTCGTACCACTCGTCCAATCCCGGCTTTTGACCCTTGTTCAGCCTGTTTGCGCCAAACCAGGTTTTTCCGTGGAAGAGGGAGGGTGCTTTCTGACTGGTGTAATCGGTTTTCTTGGTCAAGGGCCGTACCATTGCTATGTTGAGCTGTGGCCCCTCCACTTGGTCGCAGCGGTATCGGGCAAGGTGGCGGATGGAAACCTGGTCAATGGAAAAACCTTGGCTTTCATCCCCTGGAACTGTGATGGTGACATCTCCAGACTTCTCAGGACTGTAATATATTGCGTTAGTATCCAAAATAACGTTGATCGCATATATGACTATGCTTTGGGCGGGTTCAGGCGCACGTGATAGTTACGGATTCGACCATTGACTTCGCAAATAACTTGCACACTTCAGGGAGATCCTGATATACTCTGGTGGCACGTGCTTTCATATCCCAAGCAAACTGAGGGCAGTGGACATAAGCTCTCGCTATCTCCTCAACCTCACCAAGACAGAGATGGGACAATGTGTTGACATCCAATTCTACCCTGAATGATGCTTTGCACTCATCCTCATACAGATGGCAGCTGAATTCGTACTTCGCCACGCTGTCGTACAGTTTCCACTTGGACCCATCTGTGAGTCCGAACTGCACAATTCTCGCTGCATCTGATGGCGACGATGTCAAAATATTTTGGAACCCAATTGAGCTCTGGGGAATTCCATCTTCGAACGAAGCCAAGAGACTCTCAATGCTCCAGTGTGGGCCTCGGCCGGTATCAACAATCGGCTCGCCAATATTCTTGAAGTAGATACGGCCTAGACTCAGTTCTAGTTCTACTTTTCCAGATGTTAGTTGAAGAATCTTGCCCGTTTCCTTTAAGTCACGCTCCAGAATGTCCCCGTGCGTTTTGCGAAACTTGAGTGTCTCAACTCTCCCGGAAAGAATTCCCATGAAAGAACTCGCTGGCGTAGGCTTAGATTGAGAGGCAGCACCCTCAGTGTCATTGGGTTTCGAAACACCTTCACTGCTAGCCGGGGTGCTTTGTTGATTGCTAGTCTTCACGCCGGCCGTTTGTGGCTTGAGGTTCGAAGCAGGATCATTCTCCTTAGCAGGCTGGGGTTTTGCCGATTGGTTAGTCTGGTGCTTCTCGGGAGAGTCGGCGGTTATACTGGTTTGCTGCCCTTGGCTGGGATACTTGAGCTTTTTGCGACCGGCTTTCTGTTGCATAGTCGAGTGAAAATCAATGAGATCCTCGTCTTCTTTCATTGCGAACTGAGCGACGGCTTCGGGGTCCAACAGTGGATAGTCGATATTCAACTCGGACACAAACGGAACATCTGAGTCTATAAGATTGTTATTCCTGGAGCCACTAATACCCTGCGTCGCCTCGGACTCGATCCCCAAGAGGTCGGCGACCAGCTGCTTTGATTCAGCAGTTGGTTCTCGGACATTTTTATTCTTCTCGGGGGTTGCCCCTGGACCCTCGTACAGATTCTTGGTTGAGACCTGGGACAACCCATCTTCCTTGCCAACTTGCGGACTGTTATATCCCTTTTGATGGTGAGTTTTTCGCTGCTGTTCGACCCATTGCCCAACCATAATAGGGGAGCTTGTGTTGCCGACGGGGACCTGTGATTTCCCCGGTGATGATGCGCCTCGTCCCCCTCGTTTTTCTTGCTTAGGGTTCAAGGTATTAGCTTTGACACTTGGGGGCTGTGCCATAGAAGTCTGATCAACTTTCTTCTTGGGCTGCGCACGCGACACGCCCCCTCCGCGTGGAGATTGAATTGCCTTGGGGGGGCGGACCGGCACTACCTTCGATGGCGACGAGTTCGAAGGTTGAGACGTCGCTGGCGGTTGATTGGAAGTATAAGACTGCTTTTCGAAGACATCTAAAGGAGGAACTGGCTCAATGAATCCTCTTACTCTCGGATACACTCTCGGATCAACTACCCACTCGCCCCTGTCATTATTGAACGCTGCCGTTCTCAACGTAGCACCATTCACTAACGCGGCGTATTCGTCTTCTGCAGAGCCTGCGTGGCTAGGCGCCAGGTACGTGCGCTTGGATAGCCCGATGTGTGAGAGCCATCTGTAGGCTAGCTTGTAGTCCCGATGATTCTCAGTAATTATCGGGATGATATGGCGAGTTTTCTCTTCCAGGGTGAGAGTCTCGTCTAGTCAGCACCTGTAACACTCAAAGTAATTTCACTTCTTGACTTACAAACGCTATCTTCCAAATGTTATCCAATCTCTTAATAGCATCGCTGACTTTTTCTTCACTCTCGCAGCTACCAATGTAAAGCACATTTTGAACCAAATTTGGGTAAATTTCGCAATTTACAAGCTCTGCAAACTCTTCGAGAGTAACTGTTTTCCCAAAACCAGCTGCGAGGTAGGAAGCAGAGTGCAGGACAGCATCGATCGTCGCTCCTCGAAGCATCTCTGGTGCCCTCCAGATACCTTTATGCGGAGTGGAGACGAGAAGTTCGGGGTATTCGTACGGGATGTAGTCATTTCGAGTCTGATCAAGCTCGAATTGATAGGTCCCCCAGGGCACGACACGCGGTGTCTCTGCGATGATTTCGATGTCGATCGAATTGCCATGCTCATCTGAGTGCTCAGCTTCATCGTCTGGATCGAGGGGACATGTATCTTGTTCGATGATTTCCCGAAGAAGCTCCTCAATATACTTGGAGACTATGTCGCGGGCTGGAGTTGAAACGATGCACTTGAACCATGCCGCGTCTGGATCGTACAGGATCTCGACAAGTTCATCATTCTGGTCGAGATGTCAAACCAGGTCTCGAAAAATAACAAAGAGATGGTCACTTAAGATGGCTACTCACAGTAAACTGCTGCATTGCTTGACGGATAACATGATCAACTCCTTCTGGGAGTGGGGGAGGATTGCACGCCACGTAGATTTCATTGAAAGCGTCGCCTTCGTCCTCATGCCCTAACTGAGTAGACGCCATATTCACCGAAGGCTATTAAAGCCGCTGCTGGGGAAAATACTGCGCCAGAAGATGGATGTTCGAAGATAGAAAATATGAAATGAGGTTTGGGGAAGAGAGAAAGTGAAGTGAAGGGACAGAGGAACAAACAGGGAAGGAGCGAGCGCAGGGTGGGTTAGAGAATAAGGCGTGGGCATAGGATTTTCCTTAGACAGACACCCAGGAAGACCGGCTCGTTTATCCTGTAGGTAGCCTTCAAAGGGAAATGAATGGCCAGTGATTCACGGGAAGGTGCATATAATGCAAGCGCCGCAAACGTGTAGAGGAGTACCATGCTTGTAGGCATCCTGCTGCCATTGTCTGAGGCCGACCGCCAAGTTCCCCCTCAGCCTGGGCACGGATGCATCTCACCTGTTACTCAAGTTAGGGCATCAGCTATTGTTTGGGGGTTGGAGGGAATGAACGAACGAGGTGTGATTTCATCTATGCCTTTTGTTTTATTGTCCAGTTGTACATTGATGTCGACACTTGCCCCCAAGACAATGGGAATGGTACGTGAAAACGCGGGCCACGGAAAATGCTTTCACGGCAATGGCAAAAGGAGGTCCATCCGAGAATAGGGAATTTGCTGAGATTAACGGACTCATGCCTCCGTTATTCTCGGATGGAAGCATCGCGAGACTCTGAGCACACTTGATAGCTCCGTTCGCCGGGCCGTTGCGTGGAAGTTGATATCAGGTAAGCGTGTGTGCATGCCAGACCTCTTGGCAACTGTTCTCACCCGCTACTGGTTCCGCTCGTATCTAATTGTCTAAGGTACTAAGGTACGTACATTCGCTTTTGTTGTACAAGACACGCCCACTGGGAGGCTACACAAGCAAACGCTTACAGACGGGAAGTGAGGAAACAGGGTTGTTATTCACAACGAAGTACATAATTTTATTTTCCCACAGGCTCCCATACCATGTGCCACGCTCACTGTACAAACTCCCAAGTTCCTCCTCTTCTATTTTCGTACGGGAGCCGTGTGACGCAGAAGCCCGCGCTCGCTTTCGTGGCTTACACCAGCTCTAGCTTGTTGACACCGACGCCCGCAAGTCTAGCCAAGAATAAGCGACGAGATCGGCGGAAACTTTCGGCATAAATGCCATGTAAAGCGCGAGATTATGAGAGGCCCGTGCAACGACCACATGCTCTCTGTATATTCTATCACATATGCAACCATCTGGAAGGTTCCACGGTGAAAACAGGCCGTCGTGTGTGTAGCCAGGAGACAAAGTCAAAAACAAGAATTGAATCCAACGCCCATTGCGCCTGGTTTCTAAGCCCGCATGTGATCAAACAACAAGAACAACCATAACCCGGGCCACCATGGTGTATCACACTGTAGTCGTGTAACATGTAGTATCCTGTCCATGACTGTATTTGTTCCGAGGTTTAAAAAAAAAGGAAAAGAGCCGCAAAGGTGTAGAAAAAACCGATTATAATATAGTAGAACCAGAATGATGAAGATGGTATCGTCGTGCGCGTCGTATCATTTGATATAGCCACTAGTAATGGCGACCTCCCATTAATGGCTTCTCACCCTCAAAATTGGGCAGATGCCACCTGAAAGGCCTAGGCGAATGAGAGGGTAGATAAAGTACCCAAACTGCAAGGTGAAGAAAACAAGTCGACAATGTGACCCAGCCGCGGATGAAACCAGATAACATGCTTAATGACGCTTGAAGTTGAAGAAGGGGAGAGATGAGCAGAATAACCATAATGTGTAGTCAAGGACTGTCCAATTATTGAGCACCCTTGACGTTTTCCTTGACGTTCAGAGCCCACTTGAGCTTATGGAGAACCTCCCGAGACTCGTCAAGTATCCGCTGCTGCTCTTCCTCGCGCGCCTTCGCATTGGATTTAATGTCCTTTAGGCCATCCTCCTGGGCTTGCTTGTAGGCGTCAAACTTTTGCGCAATCTCTTCCTTCTCACGCCGCAGCTCTTTTAGATTGCTGTCCTGTTGGTCGCAAAGATCTCGAAGGGTTTGGATCTTGCTGTCGTCGATTTTTCTCTCCTCAACAATCTTGCCGACTTCGACCTTGGTTTTGGCCAGTGCCCTCTTGACCTCGTCGCCTTGGTTCCGCCAGTGTGATGATATCGCGTTGTAACGTCCCTCCATCAGCTGTGCGTGGGTCGTGGCCTCTTCCACCTGTACCGTCGAATCCTTCTGAGTTCGCTCCAGCTCACTGCGCCAGCCTTTTTCCCGCTCCAGAGCCGCAAGCGTTTTGCTCTTCTCAAGGTCCATTGCGGACTGTAGACTTTCGACCTGCCTCTCCTTTCTAGCCAGTAGGGTCTTGGTCACGTTTGCCTCCAGAAGCCGTCCCTCATACTCGCTCACCATGCGCTCCATCTTATCCTCCAGCAACTTGGCGGCTTGCTTAGACTCTTCCGCCCGTAGTCGCTCAATCTTGAGGTCTCGTTTCAAGGAGTCATTGTCGCTGACGAGTTTGTTGATGACACGTCCCGTCTTTCCCAACCCTGCTTTTCCGACTGTCGAGTCCCACTGTCCATCCTGCTGGTCCCCGCCCTCTGATGTAAAGGAGGCGTCGTGTGAGGGGGCAGGCTCGACCACTCGGACGCTCCCCAAAGAGTTCCCCCATTTCGAAGGCGTCTCGACGTGGTTTTCTATGGCTATTCTTGCATTGTTGGGGGACGTCCCTGTGTGTCCGTCTCCCATCGTGGAGGTATTGCTGGTGGCGTTGCTCTGCACTGTCTGGCTGCTCTCCAGGCTCCCTGGGCTCGAGTCCTGGACTCCGAAGCTGGGGACGCTGCGGATCGTCGCGGACCGTTGTAACGGGTGTTTTGGAAGGCCGTTGCCCGCGCCTTTCATGCTGTTGACGGAGCCAGTCGTGGCGGGCGAGAGTGTTCTCACCGCCTGCTCATTGGAGGTGCGATTGTCGCTGGCGGAAGGTTTTGACTCTGATTCTGAGGCAAAGGAAGAGGAGTTAGCAACGGCTGGGAGGCTAAGGCTAGTACATGCGATAGGTGGGCGTGACGGGATCTAATGGTGGAGACTGATAAATCTAGAACAGTAGCAAAAGGGATCTCACTCTGGGCTGTGTCCTGGTGGATTTGGAAAGATCTCCTAAAGAAGCGGTTCCGGGGCATCTCGCTGCACGGCCAAGCCCAATATCGATTTCGGAACGGGGATGAGGAGGGAAAACAAAGCAAAGAAAAGCAATGAGGGCTTGGACAAGAGACACGAATTGCAGATCCACGACGGATTGACAGGCTCAACTGCTTCACCAGAATATTATAATTAGCACCAGTCCGCAGTACTAATAGCGGCCAGCGGCGTGCTAGCCCCCCTGTCGAGGTCGACCGTAGCAGGCACAGTGCTCCACCGCGACCTGCTAATGGTACATCCTCAGCCAGGTGTTGGGGCAAGGTACTTACTGCGACCTGATATTCGACCAACCAGCCCAACACTATCGCGCTGAGTAGCAGGTACCTTATGAGAAAAACACACCAGGTATGGAGATAGGTAGGTAGTAATTGTCCGGAAGCAGGTGAGAAAAACAAGCACCGATGCCTGTTCTTATTATTAGGGGTGGCCGCCTGTCTGCCTCAATGCTCTGCTCCTTTGTTTTGCTTTGCTTGCTTTGTCGACCGCGAAACTCTAGCGCGCATCAATTGGAGACGAGCCTGCGACTAACGTGCTGGAGTACTAAGGTACGGATAGTACCTGAAATCTGAAATCACTTCCTGAGATAGAGGTGGAAGGGCGCTTAACGTCGGGGCTGGTGGCGGATGGTGTGATCCTCAACACCTCCATACTTGAGCCAAGCAGGCACGTCTACTATTTATGCGTCGCGTAATACCGCAGGTCGGCAGATTGCCAGAGTGTTGTTCCATCAGCACGTTGCGCTGCACGTACCGACAGCTCCCTCCCTGTATGTATCAAAGAGGGTCAATCTGGCCGCATGATGACACCCCTCAAAACAAGCCAAGCTTGGTCAGATCATGACCAGGGACCCTTCCTACTTCACTTTACCTACATAATGACCAGGCAACGAGCAATTCCCTCGAATACCCCAGTCTTCAGCTAAGCATTTCACTTGCATTGAACCCCAAGATAAGATCAAAAGCAGTCTGATTCCTACAGTATACGACATGTAGATCTTCGGTCAACCCGATGCGATGAAAGAAAGACATTCATTTCCTAGCACGAATCCAAAACCCAGACCTTCAACCGACCGCCAATCAACTCTGTTGCCGCCGCCTGTCTCGTATGACTGTCTCAGTATTAACCACCGCCACCTGTCTCATTTATGTGCCACTATGCGCGGATATTCTGCTTTATTCCTTGGATCTCAAACTGCCACATAAAGAGAACCAATCTTGAGCTTCCTCCCTCTTCGAATCTCATCCAACCGTTCTCACTTATGCTTTTATGTTCCGTTTACAAACTCTAAATGTGAATGTGTAGCGAACAAATGAAAATATTTTCATTTGAGCCAGACCAAACGCCTACCGATGCCCTGTTTACCAAGTAAAAGAATTGTACACTAAATCGTCTCGTACATCCTCGAAGAAGAAGCATCGCTAATTGAGTCGTTCTTCAAGTTCAAGTGTAAAAGTTAAATGTCTTGCATTGGAATAATATGCCCCCTCAATGCCGATCGGGAGTATTCGTGTGTTTTAGGTCGCGATCGGGGCCGCGGTGCTCTGCACTGCACCGTCGCCTTCTAACTGGCGAGTTGCTTCTTCTACGAAGCCTGGCCGGTACTTTGAAAGATATTTCGCAGCCATTGGCCTTGCATCCTCGTCTAAGGGGGGCTCCAAGTTAATACAGGCTCATTCTTAGCGCACTAGAGGGAGGCTCGGCTCTTTACTTACAGTCAGACCAGATGCCCTGGACAGTGTCAAGCGCAATTTCCTTGACGGGCGGCCTCATCATGACAAGATACAGCAAACTTGTGAGGGCTAGCTGAACGACACTGGGGTCACGGCACATGATTTTCACACGTGACAGAATCGCTCTGTTGAGCTCTGGGAGTTCGCTGAGGAATCGCGTGATGACTTTGTCTTGGGGGTGAATATATGGGAGAAAGCCATCGATGAGCCGCAGGGCGCATTTCTCGTAGTGCATGGGGAAATTGTCGCCAGCCTTCGCTAGCATCTTATCATTGTACCATTCTTCACACAGCCACGTCACAGCAACGTCAATATGTTTGCGAAAGTCTTCCATGATGTAGCCATATAGAACGTCTCGGATGTTGGCACCGAGAGACTGTGTCCGTGTAGTTTCATCTTCGCCCTTGACCGTCGTCTCCTCGATTCCGGCTGAAGATCGAGTTGCAAGTCGTATCAATGTCGTCACCCAGGGCTCCTTCACACCAGAGCTCGCCGCGAGTCGGGTGAAGCCGGCCTTGAGCTTTCTTGCGGAAAGCTCATCCGTAGATTTCACTAATTCCAAGACCCTGGATACGGTCTCATTTCCAGCGCTCAGTGCCATATCGGCAGTGAGAGCTTGCGGCTGTGGAAGATGGAAAGATTTCAGACCAAGAGCGGCATCCATTGTTGCCAACTCATTTGAAGGGGGTGGCGAGCTATCGAGTTTGTTGAGAATCTGCTCTGTGTCCTCTGCCTGGAAGAAGTCTGGTTCATAATCATCGTCGTCATCGTCAACGCCCAAAGGTGCAGTGTTGGGGTTCAATTCTGGCACCGGAGCACTGGCAAGAATATCAAGCCTGCTACGCACAGCGTTGGTGGCTTTGATCAGAAGCTGGGGCTCTATCCTTGCGAGGGTTGTGACAGCTAGTTTCGTGATGAGATCTGGAGGAACTTGGGAAATATCGAATGTTTTCAGGCCCAAAGTTTCCGTCAATGAAAATACGTCAGCTAAGCTATGAGGTCCAGGGCCAAGCGGCGGTATTACAACTTGTGGTACCACCCGTTGCCGCTTGGCATCGAGCCCATCGTGCTGTTGGTTTTCGAGGGCTCTTTTTCTCCCAGTCTCGTCGAGCGCCTCGACAACCATCCTCATCGTACGCTCAACATGCTGCTGTATCCTAGGAACTATGGGGTTGTGAGGGTCTCTCTTGGCCAGATGGATCAATAAGAGCCTGGTAGTTTTTTCCGTAGACCTGACTGTCACCTTCATCTTGGGCGTTATAGGTGACCGTACCAGTCTTAATGGGTCAAAATTAAGCAAAGCGTTGATGATTCGGTTTGCGGTTGGAGGGCGAGTTCGCACGAGGATAGATAGACATGTCAGTGTCGCGTCGATAATCAAGGCATCGCTAGAGATGGTTAGCATAAATACGCATTTGGATAACATTGGCATTTCGGAAAAGAGATACCTGCTCTCATGAAGAACGCTCAGCATGCGATCCAACAGACCCATTCCTTCGGCTTCAAGGTGTCCTGGGTCTAGGGACTGGTGATTTGGGGGCACCTTGTCCAGGGAAACATCAAGCGCACCGCCGTACTGTTAAATCGGGTGTTAGCATATGTTCTACATCTCCAGAGCGGTAAGAAGGGGGCGAGTATCTCATACCCTTGACTCGGCCCCATTTGATGGAGTCTGTGCTAGAATCACGCGCTGGGCGAATTTTATACAGCATATCTTTACCGAAGGAGTGGCCTGGTCCCAGGTTCTGAGTATTCTCTGCTTTATACCCACCATCCTTTCCCAGGTAACAGTATCGTAGCCGTTGTTGATTCTAAAGGCAGAGAAGACCGCATCGTTGTGGTTAGCCTCCATCAGCTCACTTCTTGGTATGGTATTACTTACATCCAGCGCATCGCCAGTGGGTAGATGCTGGCTGCAGTCTGGATTACGCTGCGCAGGACCTGTTCATCTTCTGCCTCGTTCTCTACCAGCGACTCCAGGGTTGCCAGCACGAACGGCTGCATCGTTTCCTTCTCCCCATTTGGTAGCGCTGGCGTCGCGAACGCCTCGGCTAAGAATTCCGCCCCCCATCGTCGTAGCTCAATGGCCGAAGTAGGGCCAATTATCGGAAGAATGCTCTTCACGACGCTGGGGTAGTATTTGACATCACCGAGAACAAGGACCCGCGCATCGTTCAGCTGGCGAATCTGATCTGGTAAGGAGAGGCCGTCCGATGCCATAGCGATATCGTGGGCGCAATTGCCCTAAAGCAAAGAACGAAACTGTTTACGAGGCCGGCGATTCTATGGAGTTTGAAATCGAGTGCGTCGCTGGTCGCTTAGGGATATGGTTGTACGACTTCTCGAGGCACGCGCGCGCAAGTGAGCAAAGCTGCCAATTAGCTTTTAGGCCGTATCTTCATGCTCTACATTCGTGGGATCGCGCAAGTCGGTTGTCGTGATCGGCAGCTATTTCAATCCGTGAGAGATTGTTGGGACTGAGTCGCGTGATGAGGTGGCCAGAATCGCTTTTGGTCGCGTTCTCCTTGTGCGTGTGTTGAGACAATGAGAGTGAGAGCTTCAAAAGGCTTCGCCTAGCGTTTGACGCGGGTCAAACAAGCTGCCAACTTTCTAAGGCAAATGCACAGGCTACCACAAGTGCAGGAGGATAGGAGGACAAATTTAGGCGCGCAGATCCACTATTCAACAGGGCGTGCCAGCTCAGAACAGCAATGCACGGCAGCCCAACCAAATGATCCGTGAGATCTTACCTTGGGTAATTGAGAGGACGCGTTCAATTAGGCGATTGATATTTCATTTAATGCTTAAATAAAGTCTCATTCTGGAACAAATTTCTTTCCATGTAAGTATCTTGGTCAATACTGAGGCGCTATTTTGTCAGATACGTCACTTTGCTTTTCCGGCGATTACCCGGTTCTGCGACCGTACCGAGATTGTGAAGTGGTTCGACATGATAGGTCCGACCTCAGAATT